TCCTTCCATAATTAATCATTAGTTAATCATATATACCTTCCATAATTAATCATTAGTTAATCATATATACCTATATATATATATATATATATATATATATATCATTCTATAACACATATTAATTAATTATATATATATATATATATATATATTTATAATTATACAGAAATGATCATTTAAATAATTAAATCATAAGCCTTTATTAATTATCCCAACAAAGCTTTATCTAAGTCCAAGACCACATCATTTGGTCCAACTTCCCTTAAACCCAAATTCAATTAATTTAAGTAAATAAAATATTTAAATAAACACTTAAATTAAAATAACTAATTACATGAAGTATATATAAACAAAACAGAATTTACAACTAAATCACACTATACCAATAAAATCAACACGCCAACAATTAAATCAAAAACCTAGCACAGACAAACAATCATCATATAAAATCACGAATATAATTTTATTAAAATAAAATAATTAATCTAAGCACTCAATTAAATAAAACAAATCATTTAAAAATAAAATAAACGCAATTAATTTCAATTAAATCAAACAAATAATTTTAATTAAAAATAAAATAAATAAATCCCAATAAATAAATCTTTTAAAATATAAGGGTATTACATCAGCCCTATTAATTGACCCTCATCATTAAGCCTCTTTCTCTACCCTAATCTCTAACCCTTTTTTTTTTTTACTTAACCGTCGACACTCCCTCTTTCTTTTCCCGATTTCTCTCGTTCCCCTATTTCTTATTACATTATTTATTTTTTGGGTAAAATTGCACCTCCCGTCATTCTTCTCACCGGTGGCCGATGGAGGGAAACGTAACTAGCGGTGGAGGAGATGGCGGCTAGGTCAAGTTAATTCGCAGAATTTGGAGAAAAAATGTTCGGTGTGGTGATTGTGATGGTGTTGGATTTGTGATTGAGATGATTTAGGATAGAAAATGAGTGTGAGATGAGATAAGACAATTGGTGGGAATGGTGAGATAAAAATAACCATCGTTGTTTTTAATTTTTTTTCACTTCTATTTTTGTGGTGTCTGGTGGTGGTGGTGGTGGTGGTGTCTACGTTGGGTCTAGGCTGGCCATGGCTATTTTTAATTTATTTTATATTCTGGTGGTGGTTGTTGTGGTGTTGTTTGGGTGTAGTTGTGGTGATGTCTAGGTGATTAGGGTGTTTCAAAATTTTTATTTTTATTTTTTTATTGTGGTCTTGGTAGTGTCTAGGTGTGTTGGTGGTATTGTTTGGGTATGGTGGTGTTTAGGACGTATAAGTATGGGTTGGACACGGTCGTTTTCAAATTTTATTTTATTTATTTTTTTTCCTACTATGGTAGTGGTGGTGGTTTGTGTGTGGTTATGGTGGTTACTATTTCAAAAATAATTTAATTTAATTTTTAATTTTTAATTTTTGTGATGTGGTGGTCGTTGTTACGATGGTATAAGTGTTGTTATATATAAATTATATTTATATGTATAGAAGAGATGAAAAGGTTAGTTTGGTATATTAAAATTAATTAAGAGGTTAAATTTGTAATTTCATGATTTAAATAAAATTGTTGATAAGTTAAAGGGTTAAAAGGTAATTTTATATGCACTCAGAGGTTCGGAGGGGTGTCAATGCACATTTTTGAAACCTGAGGGGGTGCTAAGGAAAAAAAAAAAAGCCATCGACCATCCGTTGAGTAACGTTGACCAAAATCTCAGGGAATATCAGTGCAATTTACCCAAAAATAAAAAAATAAAAAAGATATTTTCTTGGTAATAGATTGCTAAAGGCAACATAGAGATATTTTAGAGAAAAAAAAAAAAAAAAAAAATTAGAAAGAAAGATTTCCATGAATATGTCTTCAAGTACAAACAAACAAACTCATTCACTCTTTTAAATATATATAAAATTGATAGGGGCATTATTGTTACACAAAAATAGTACTTTTGAATTTTTTTTATAAAAATGACATCACCAACAGATTTATTCAATAGGGTAATTTGCTCAAAAGATAGATAATATAGGGAGTTATATGTGTTTTTTTTTATTTTAATAAGGGTGTTTTTTTGCACATTTTTTAAATAGTGAGAAGTTTTTTACACTTAACCCTAAATTAATTAATAATCATAAACATTGAATTGATTCTTTATTTGTTTATTTATTTCCCTTTAGCAAGAAACTCAGAGACACCTGCTTCCTGCTTTACTCTTTAGGAGACTTAAATCAATTGAAAAAATTAATGAGTTACAATGTGAATTAAATTAAGGATTTAAAACCTTTCAAAGTCCAATACCATCAAGGTTCTATAGAGAATTATATCCAGATCATCTGGGAGATTTTGGTTCAAGTTTTTAACAACAGTTTTTCATGAAATATGTTCCTTAGATACTGTTGTTAAAAAATTGAACGGAAATTTTCATTAAACATTGTTATGGGTGACAAAATATTTTCAAGGGTAAAGTGCAGAAACATCCTGAACTATGTCTAAATTTGTAAATAATTCCCGTGAATTATATTTTTTCACACAATACCCCCTGAATTATCACAATTTGTTACAAAATGCCTTATGTCTGAGCTATTTTCCATTAGTGGGGCCATAATGCCCTTTGCTGTTGAATTACACTTAATCTAGTTTTGTATTAAAATAAATTATGAAACAAATTCATATTATTTTGTTGACATATTCTCCATTAAATTTGCATAAATTTACGTTTAATTCTTGAAATTAATTATTTAAAGAAAAATCTTAAGTAGAAAATTTTAAAAATATTTAAGTAATTTCTTAATTTTTCACAAATATACTGCATGAAAAAAAAGTATTTTTTTATTTAAGTAATTTAATAAATTTTCATGAATATATTGTATAAAATAAGGTATTCTTTAACGGTAAAAAAGTTTAAACTGAGTATAACAAGTTTTATTATAAATAATCTAGTTTTAATAATAAGTTAATCATTTAGAAAATGGTAGTTACACTATTTATTTTATCCCATTTTTATGATAAATTGATACTAATACTAAAACTAAAGTAAATGGTTAATTAATATTTTTTTTTTTAACCTCCCTTTGGGAAAGTAAGGACATGATATCGTTAGACCACTAGCTCATTCGTAAAAATATATTAAAGATAATTTAACAAGAAATAAAAATTTTAATAAAAATGGGTAAAATAATCTTTTGTGATGAGTTTATCCTTAATTGCAACAAATCATTAGTTTAGGGGGTTGTTTGTAAAAAGGCAACATTTTAGGATATTTTTTTACACTTTACTCTATTTTCAAAAAATACATTTGACGTTGTGATACATTTTGCAACTGTTGCATATGTTGGAGAAATCATTCTTATTTTTTAAAAGTAAGTATTAGTAACTAATGTAAACCTGTTAATATATTAATCAAACTTGCACGAATCATATATATAAATTGCACGTACAGGCATGCATACATTTTGTTATTGAAGGTTGGTTTTGCAACTTTTTTACTTGTGACAATGAATACTATAAATTAACAAGTTTTCAAGTTTGAGTTTTCTTTTAATTCAGGATATTTATGGACCCTCTCTTGATTTTAGAATAAGAAATACAAGTTTTAAGGCTAAAGATTAATTTTGAAGTTGAATGATTAATAGTTTAATTCTTACTAAAATCCAAGAAAGTGGACAGGGCACACTAATATTATTATTATTTATGAATTTGGTTTTCTCATGAAGTATAATTGATGTTGAGGTGTTTTTGCCAACATTTATTAGTATATATAAAACATTTATATTATAGATAGATACACCACTACTAAAAATGAATGTGTAACTACATCTCATTAGTTGTGTCTTTAAGCAGGAATAAATTTCATTATCGTAGGTTTTATTGGGTACAAGTCAATCCAATCAATAACATGTTCAGTATTAATGAAAAACTACTTCTTATTTTTATTTTTTTTTTTTTAAAATTTATCCTTACACCAGCTTCTGAATCATGATTAAGTACAACTAGAGAGAAATTTTCAATATTTTTTTTAAAAAAATGTAGGGATCTCAATAATAAATTCACTTTGTACGAGAAATATGTAAAGTTTTCAAGAATAAAATCCATTTTTTTTTGGAATAAGACATAGACTTCTTGAAGAATAAATGTAATATTAACATATGTGTGTACATAAATTTGAAATAAAATAGTATTAAAATGTACATAAAAAAAGTCTTAAAAGTAGTATAAATATAGATAGTTAGGGAAAGTGCATTGAGGTGTTAAGCAATCCCTCTTAATCTCTCCTTTTCCTTCTTCAACCGTAAACCAAACATGGAAATGACCATAGCTTTATTTCTTTTCCTCCCCCGCTGGAAAGCACATATATGAACACAAATATAAGTACCACACAGTATGAACATGATAATATGACAAATTTTTTTTAAAAAAGACACAAATATAGTCAAAAATAATAATATATGTATATTATTATATATATAAATAATAAAATCACCATTTTATCCATATAACCATGAATAAATTAAAACACTAAATTGGAGATTAGAGCTAGATGCTACCCTAATAATATAATTACTAAAAGGAGGGGGCAATTATAGGATACTTCTAATCCTATTTGACACATGTACAAGTGTTTGATATTGTCACCACACTTTAGAAGAAAAGTTTATGCGCTCACCGGAGATACAAGACAAACCCGTGATACGAGGCATGAGATTTTCTTATTTAACTTTTAAATTGTGATAGTTTTGAGTCAATTCAATAATTTGCTCTACCAACGAGCCAATTTAGTAACATCAAACTCTAATTTTTCAAAAAAAAATTTGGGACTCGAGTATTAATGCACACATCTGCGTGAATAACAACTAAGAAAAAAAAAACTATAGAGTGCTGTAAATAGTATTATTGTTTTATTTGAAAAAAAGGTTATCCATTAGTTGCATTTCACGTAGAGCGTTAACTTTCATACTAGTAGCATATAATAAAAGGACTTAAACTTTTTTTTTTTTTTTCTCCAAAAGGACTTAAACTGACTTGGGCCCAGAATAACCAATAGCAGGGAGAGAAAAAAGAAGAGAGAGAGAAAATGGAGAGGGGGAGGAACGGCCGCGACGAAGAAGAGAAAGGTTTGTTATGGAAGCTTCCGGTACTTCAGTCAAATCAACTGGGAAAATTGGGCCCTGCCTTCGGTTTCGGCGCCGGCTGTGGTGTCGGTTTAGGCGTCGGCCTCATCGGAGGTAAATCTTTTGCTACAACACTAATATTACTACTATTACTTGGTTGCAATAAAATTGCTTATTTGATTGTAGTGGCTTTTGATTTTCTTTCATTTTCTTTCATTTTCCTCGAATCCTTAAAAACCAAATGGATCATAAGGAAGGGGAAAAAAAGAATCAATTGATTTTGGCTATGTGTTTATGACTGAATCAAAGTTGTCTCTTTTATATTATTTCTAAGATAAGAATTACTACAAATATCTTGACAATTATATGTAATTCAAATATTTTCAAGAATTGTAAGTTACAGTTTCCAATCACGGAAACAGTCTCTCTGTATTCGGGGTAAGGCTGTGTACGTCTGACCCTCCCTACACCCGCATCCTACACCCGCATTGGCCGGAGGTACTGGGCTAGCCCTTTCTATTGTTGGGTTTTTGGTCTTGTTAAGAACTGTCAGAAAATAAGGAGCAATATTGAGTGGTCACTTTCTCTCTTTCTTTTTTTGATAAGTAATAGTGAGTGGTCACTTTCACATGCAACTGTGGGTTTTCAATTTTGTTATTATTGTTTATTTCTTTTTCCAGAAATGTCTGATTGGATGACCATTGTATTTTGCTGTTGATTTGCTAATGTGTATTGCATAGGCTTGCAAAATGTTTGGAAGTATGAATGTTGAAGCATTCTTTCAAACCCATTGTTATTTGTTACTTTTTTTTTATAATTTTGCTTTATGGTTCTTTCACTCACTGATGATAAAAAAATTGGGACTTTTTAGCTTAGGTAAATCTACAATTTGCATTTCAATTTTATTATTGTTCTTATTATTTTGTTAAAAGAAGAAGGTTTATTATTCTTTTGGAGCTCTTATTCATGATTAACTCAAACAATCTAATCTTTAGTTATTCCCTACTCCAATTTATATAAGCCGAAGGAAATCCTCCTATTAAATAATGACAAACAATTAAAAAGGAAAAAGAAAATAGATTGTTTATATATGTGTTATTTTGCATTGAATAAGTAGAAGAAAAGCGAATATGTAATATTTAGAGGAAGAACATTGAAATAAAACATTCAAATCATAACTAGGAAAAAAAAAAAATTCAAATCACCTAGCGAAGTCCACTCTGGCAAGCTTTATAGAAAACCCACAAAGAAGAATATGGTTTCTCCTTTTGGCTAGTATGAGTTCAACATCATCTCTTCTTCTTCTTCTTCTTCTTCTTCTTCTTTTTTTTTATTTTTTATTTTTTTATTATTATTTATTTGTTTTTCTCTTGGTCGTTGTTTTCTATAATATGATGCCATGGAGCACTAATTCAGAATTTTCTAAATTTCCAAATAAGAAGTTGTATTCCCTTTATATTTTTAAAGAATCCTAGTGTAAGCTACATGATTATGTATTTGGAACTACCTTAGTGGCCACTGGGAAATGCTGTGTTGATTAATCAAAACTTGCATGAGCCTTCTGTACCAAGCTGATATATGCACTATCATGCTGAACTGGATGCCCAATCTAGTTAATTGGCCCTTCTAAGATTTTTGCTGGGTCCAACAAACAATGCTTGCGATTTGTTTTTTGCCTTTAATTTTTGGTCTTGAAGGTTTTCAGTTTCACCTAAATTAGAAATTGAAAACTCTGTATCTTATTATATTAGATTTGAATAAATTGGCTATCATTTGTTTTTTTTTTGGAATACAAAATCCTAAAATTTACCCCAACCTTTTAGTTGCTTCATTTTGAATGCTGTCATTTTTTTCCTTTTGGCTGAAATACTGTGTATTTATGCCTTTTGAGTTGCTACCAATGATTTATGCCGTTGGTTACAAACAATACGGGAAGCTGAGGACATGGAGTGAGCGAGCGAATACATGATTTCGTCCTTGTTATAGCAAATGGTAACATATTTTTGTAACTGACCCTCTGACCTTAGGATTATGCATTTTATGTCGAGTGCAGTTGAGTTCCAATTTTCTATTTGTTTTGCTTACGCCATAATTAGGCTTTTGCAATTTCATTCTCTATACTACTCTCTAAACATAAATATGGTGTGGATAGTTTAAGATTGGTATAAATCATGACCTTAACTTGAATAATTCCCAATCTTTTAATGATGATTTTATTTAGCATGGCTGTTGATGGTCTATATTCGGTTGCAGACTGAATTCTACTTGAAGACCATATTTTGATGAAAGTCTTTTCTACTCATTTAAATACTAACTAATACAAATTTCACTTCAGGTACAGGCTTTGGTCCTGGACTTCCTGGTTTACAGCTTGGTTTTGGCCTTGGTGCTGGATGTGGTGTAGGTTTAGGATTTGGTTACGGTATGGGGAGGGGTGTTGCTTATGATGAGAGCCGGAGACACTCTAATGTTGGAAAATTGTTTAATGGAAGAAATCTTCCTTCTCAGTAAGTTTATTTTCTCATTATTTTATCTGTCGTGCATTTTATTGCATTGAACTCACTTAGATGTGCCATCTTCACCATCTACAGTGTAATCATTTTGGCTTCTGTCACCCCTATGCCAAACAGAAAAGGAAATAACAAAAAGAAAAGAAAGCTTAGGGATGCAACTGAGGTGGGTAAAACCAAGCCCAATTCTATATTAGCGGGCTTTTGGAAGCACTTTTCGAAACTCGGGTCGGGCTTGGATTTAGATATCCTAACCCAAATTTAATTCGGGCTGAGCTAAAGTTATGGTGCAGCTTGAACCCAACACGAACGGGGAAACCGAAGCTTAACCCGTATTCCATCTTTACTAAATACATATCTGTGTGTTATATGGTCTATAGAATACAATTAGGCTGTGATGACTTTTGTTATATATGTGTTATATGGTATTACAGTATACAATTAGGCTACGATGGCTTTATTTTTTCTTTTTTATTTTGGGTTAATTGCAGTAAATTCCCACATCACCCTTCTGGAAGAAAATTATCCCCCCAAACTATTGAAAATATGAAAATAAGGCCAACAAGCTAATGATCATTAACAGGCCATCAAATGTGTCTTTGAAATTACTGAATTGTTTTTGAGATTAATTGCACAAAAACTCCCCTTAACCCTTGGAATAGGGGTAACATCCAATTTGTATTAGTATTTTTATTATTTTTAGTTTAAGGAGGTTTATGCCTTTAATCCTAAAGGATAAATTGCAATTTAAAAAAATTCCTAATCTGTCCATTTATTCTAGGATGGGGGCTTCGTGCAACCTTTTTTTTGGCATTTTAGGGTGTTTATTAGCTAAAAAATTTAGTACGAGGGTGGTATGCAAATTTTTTGTAGTCACAGGAAGGTACGCGCCCACGTGTTTGGGGAGGGAGGGGTGCTATTAACCCTTTTTATTTTATTTTGTTTACATTTTGTGGAGATTGGGAAATTAGCCTCACTTTTAACCTAATTTCCTTAATCCAAACTTAAGTTGAATTCAATGCTCTTGAGATTTGGTCAGGCTTGCCTCGAAGAGTTAAAATAAAAAACTTGTTAGCATATATATGATAGCCACGATTTATGGAATGACTTACCATGTTAGCATATATTTGATTATGCATATGTTAGCATATATGATAGTCATGATTTATGGAATGACTTTCCATATTAGTAGAGATTTGATTTACTTATCAAAAAAAGAAGAAGATTTGATTTAGTTTCTTTTCTTGTAGTATGAGCATGTGCTCTTATTTTATCTATAAATACTAGAGCTGTGAATGAGTGATTGATATCACTCAAGCCTTTACATATTATAAATCTCATTCAAACCTTTTACATATTTCTTTTCTCTTTCTTCTATATTGTATTTCTACTTGGTATTAGAGCCAGGGTGGTTCGACTGCAATAAGGGCATTGCGAGTTCGGCACCACCCATTCAAGAATGGTCTAAGGTGAGATCGCCCATCTGGGAGGTGTCGGGTAGGCAGGGTGATTCGACCTCAATGAGGGTATTGCGAGTTTGACACCACCTATTCAGAAATGGTCTGAGGAGACATAGTTGTTTATTTTTTATAGTCTGAGGAGACATTGTTGATTCTTTCTTCTACATTGTTTAAACATATGTATAAAGGGGAATGGTCTGAGGAGACATTGTTGATTCTTCCATCTACATGTTTTTAATATGTGAAGGGGAATGGTCTTAGGGGACATTGTTGGTTGTTTACGGTCTGAGGAGACATATTGTTATTTGTTTATGATCTGAGGAGACATATTGTTGTTTGTTTACGGTTTAAGGAGACATTGTTGGTTGTTTACGGTCCAAGGAGACGTGATTGGTTGTTTACGGTCTGAGGAGACATTATTAATTGTTTATGGTCTGAGGAGACATTTTTGGTTTGTTAATCGACATTTTTAATCTAGTCAAATCTTCACTCTGCAACTTGTAGATTCTGAAGAAGGGTGCTAGCAAGACCATGTTTGAAGATGCGTTGTCCAAGTTGGGCGTTTCAGAGATCCACGCACCAACTTGAGGGGGAGTGTTAGCATATATGATAGCCACGATTTATGGAATGACTTACCATATTAGCATGGATTTGATTATACATATGTTAGCATATATGATAGCCATGATTTATAGAATGACTTATCATATTAGCAAAGATTTGATTTAGATTTGATTTAGTTTCTTTTATTGTATATGAGCATGTGCTCTTATTTTATCTATAAATACTAGAGCTGTGAATGAGTGATTGATATTATTCAAGCCTTTACATATTATAAATCTCATTCAAACCTTTTACATATTTCTCTTCTCTTTCTTTTATATTGTGTTTCTACTAAACCCAATGTGCCGGATAAACTTCATTTCTTGAATCCGTTCCCCTTACTTCATCTTGATTTGACTGTATTCTTTTCACTTAGTCGTTTTGCTAGAAGGAAAAAAACATCGAAAAGTTAAGGTAGTAGAAAGGGAAGTGAAAGAAAGGAAAATATTTTTTCCAGCATGCCTTTGCTTAGAATGAAAAGGTCCTAAGAAAGTTTTAGAATAATTCCATCTTGTGGTCCTATGAAAGTTATAAGAAAATATTATTGCTTACGTAAATTGTTCTTATTTGTACTAAACGGAATGAAAAATGTATATATTTATTTTTGAAAACAATTATGCATAAACCCATATATTTAGGGAGACAGTGATAAAGTGCATAAGTGCAAGTTCAAACATTTTCTTGTACTTTTTGGAGGAATTTTTTTTTGGGAAAGTTAAAGTGGTTATGGAAAATTACTTCCTTATAAGAAATCCTTTTCCTGCCATCCAAATTCGTAAATTGTGAACAATTTTTCATTTCCTGCACTTTAAACTAATTCCTGTCTAACCAAAGCAAGCTTTATTGGGGGAAAAAGAAAAAGAAGGAAAATTTTGAATCCTTTAGTATATATGTAATGTCACCGTAAACAGAGCAAATTTTTTTGACAAAATGGAAAATAACTACAGTACATATCGGTACAGTACTGGCACAAAATTACCACTATAGCTATGGATATCTTTCCATATCACCGTACTTTTTTTATTCTTAGGTTCTATATTACTTCCATCGTCATTGTACTTTGTACATTATCCTTCCGTTGTCTTTATTCTTAGGTTCAAATAAGATTTGGTAGCAGTGTTGTTTAACCTGTATCTTTTTGGTTCAGTATACTTACGAAGCAGGTATTACTTGAAATGTTATGAGTATTACCGGTGGAGTGGGTAGGGGGGGAACTCATGCTAACCCGGGGCAGATGGGTACAGATGGCAGTGCAACTTTGTAAGGGAATTGTTGATCCCTTAGGTGACTTCTTGGCAAAAAGCCTTAGTGTCCATATAGAACGGAGGGAATTCTGTTTGTTGGTCTCAGTTCTATGGGTCTTAAAATACACATAGAAGCCCCTTTTGTAATCAGTAATGAGGTCAGAGAAGATGTCCACTTGGTTGCCATGTAGTAAAAGGTAATTGACCATGGCAATCAGGCTTGTCGTGGCTTTGATGATATAGCCAGGTACACTTTGCAACACTTACTGCTTCATGGCTTTGATGATATAGCCAGGTACACTTTGCAACACTTACTACTGCTTCAGAGTTATGATAGCCGATTAATGCAGTAGGGTGGCCATTTAGTGAGGCCTGTTGGCCAGTTAAGATTATAAGACAAGGGAGATCTGGTGATATTTTATGTAAGGGGCCAATACTCTCACTGCTCTCTCGAGTCAGGTTGAGGTATCCTGAGCATTAGCCACAAAAGCTAGAACCTCTAGAATCCCATTAGATCAACTATCGTGACCCAATTAAGGAGGATTATGTGAGTTGGTTGTATATTTTGCCAACTTAGACCTACTGAGTCCATCCAAAACATGAGGTGTAAGAGGTGCATTAGGAGAAGAGGTCCTCTTTTATGTCTCCCAAGGTAAGTCATCCTCATGACAAAGGTTTATCTGAGAAGAGGTCCTTGCGATAATTATGACACGAGAGAGACCTATGTTGGGAGAAGAGGTTATTGCCCAAAGTAACCGTCTTTACAACGCTAGGTGCCTCTTTAGTCTTTCTCATCACAAGTCCTCGATGAACCTTGAGGCTTGAATGAATGCTGTTAATTTCTGCCCTTGAAAGAGGTCGAGTATTTGGGCTGTGATACAAGTTACAGGAGTTCGAGGGCTGTTTACCTTTACCTCTATTCAATATTTGACATATGACTGACATTGTCACGTTGGGCTATCAGCCATTTGTGCCGGGTCGCCATACCATGTCAGAGTGCCATGTGTAAGGTGGACACCATGTACCCAAATATGTTATGTAAATGCACGTTATAATGAACCCATTTTCTATGCTGTGTGCATCTATGAAATGATACATAAGATTATGTATTGACTAGTATCTTTAGTAGGATTTCAAAATTCAAAAGACCATGATATCGGATGAAAATGCATAAAAATATATGTAGCTGTCTAGTCAAGTGAACTTCAGTATTCAAGCAAAAGATTATTAGATTGACAATTCGAAAACTGAATACAAGTTCAATATAAAACAGAAACTATTAATGTGAAAGTTGACTCGATAAACATTTTCACCTTCTACAAAAAAAAGTATAAAAGCGATGAAAAAATAAAAAATAACTACTAAACCTCGTGCTTCTGGAAGTGTGTCCAAATAATAATAGACTTATATAGAATTATATATATATATATATATATATAATAATGAATGGAGCAATATTTTTGAATTTATTACTTCTAATTTACATTTGAATGTTCAAAATTAGATTATTTTTTGTGTTACCACGTGTTTCAAGTGTGAGTACATATCTAAATGTTAGATTTATTAGATATTCAAACCAAGGACATAAACATGCAGCTAAATTGTTCGTATTTTTTATAGTTCCTTTCTATTGTTTAAGAGAAGGTGTTGATGTTATGTAATGTAGAGTGTTTCACATGGAGACTTCCGTAGTTTTATATAGTTCTTAAATGTCGGGGATATATTTATTAGGTTTATGTCTACCCAGGCATGTCGAATAACAGATTCTACAGCATTACCCCGTCGTCGCGTGTCTCATACAATTTCTTCATGCATTTGAGAGACTCGTATGATATATATTATCATAGTGATAGGGTCACACGGGTACATTGCTCAATATAGTACCAAAAGGGGGCCCCATCTTCTTCTTCTTATTTATTATTGTTGTCTGTCACTGGTTTTTCTGATTCATGTAGTGCTTATTTGGGCAAGCAAGTGCATTTAGAAATTGGTGTAGATAGCATTTGGCTTTCCCATATTTCTTTGACACCCTCCAGATATTTTTTTTTGTAAAAATAATATTAAAAAATTATCTGGTATTTGTAATGAGTTGTGGTTATGGAAATCAAAAGTGTCCAAATTTGAACTGAAAACAAGGTGTCGTCAAGGAAATAAAGAATGTCCTTGTTAGACTGAGATGTTATAATTATGTGTGTATATGTTGAATTAATCAAATTAATTCCTATGGCTGCAAGTTATAGTTACTCATTCTTGTGTGCGCTTGTGGCTTGGTGGTTTCAGGGATGAGATTAATGCTCTCGTTGATGATCTTGTCATGAACACGAAGAAGCTAATCAAAGCAACTTCCAGAGAGGTCGATAAGTGGAGGAGATAAGTGGAGACGAAATCGAGACGATGATTTCTGGGTGTAGAATTGTGTCAACGACCATATGTTGATTACAGTTCTCTAGCTAGTCTATACATATGCATGTATGTATGAAACGCATGACTCGTTCCTTTTTTATACAGATTCTGTAGCATGTATGCCATTGAGTTTGGATTATTAATTGCTTCAGTTACAATTCTTTCGTTTGGTTTTTCGGGACCTGAATTTGTCTAGGTCAACCCTGTTCATCTATACTTAAAAGTTTACTAGTTTCCCATCACAAATATCATTATATGCTTCATAGTAAATCACTTCACATGCATTTCTGTTGTTGCTCAACTCAGCCATGCATTGAATCCCCGGTTTCGTGATTATTTGCTGCTGCAAAACCATCCATAGTCTCTGGCATCGCACAGGATGGATTTCAATAGACTCATTTTTCTCTGTTACAGTTTTGAGCTGTTTGGATTGTTTGTTTTAATAGTGAGCAGGGAAGAAGTACGAGTTTGAAACACTGGTGAGCAGTTGAGTCTGTGATTTAGGGTGTATTCTCCTTCTTCTCTAATTCTTCTAGAAGCTATATAAGAGTTGCTTACAAGAGTTCGCAGAATATGGTTTTCTGGTGTTTATGTTTAGTGATTGTGATTGTTGTGTAAAATATTTATTATTTGTTATTAGATTTTGATATGAATATAGAAATATGGCTTGGTAATGATCTCTTCTCACGAGCTGCCATGCAATCAAAAAATTGATAAAACTGACACATTTGATTGCGTGACAGTTTTATGATTGGTCGGGATCACATGATTCCGATCATGTAATAATTTTTTTCTTAAAGAGGCGAGTGTTGAGTTAAAACTGATACATTTGATTGCGTGACAGTTTATGATTGGTCGGGATTACATAATTTCGATCATGTAATAATTTCTTTTTCAAGGAGAGGCTAGTGTTGAGTTTTTATGTGTAAAATGGTCATCTCATTAATAATTATTAGAATAACTGAAAGAAGTAGTATGATTTCTTTTGGTTTGTAAGGTGAAAGGCTAAGGTAGTGTTTAATATAATCTTAAAGTAAGTTATGTCATTTTTAAATATATTTAAATTATATTACCATCATAATAATGAATATGGTGTTGAATTGAGTTATTGAATAATTTTTTTTTGTAAACCCTTTGTATTTGTTGCATCTTTGATGTGCCCAAAGGAAGAAAGCATTTTATTTTTTCATCCTTCAGTACACTGATGGTGCCATATCATCATCATATAAATAAAAATAGTTTTATATCATCAATATGTTAAAAATATTAAAATAAATTTCCAATTAGACAAAAAAATTTGAGGCAAAAATAAAGTACAGGACAAAACATTACATTTGCTGTTTCACCAATAAGATGCATTATGAGCTGTATTACATCCACATAGACCACATCCGCATTTTGTCCATGTTATCCACAAATAAACAGATTATTGGAGATTTCAGGTCATCATCCGCCAGGTCAGCATATCATCCGCCACGTCATCAAACCCACCCTATCAAGAAGCACCATTAGATTACGAATTTACCATGCACACCAATCACAACCAGAGAAGGAAAATCCTACGTGGCACGTCCACACCCACCAGATCAAGCATTTAGTGTGTCTCTCTTTCACACCACACCCTCACACTCAGCAACCCCCACTTCTCATCACCCACCGGAGAACCGCTTTCCGGGCAACCCAAAGAAAAATGGCTTCACTGGCAGCTACAACCGCAGCCGCCTCCCTCGGCGTATCGGAAATGCTCGGAAACCCTCTCAACTTCACCGTAGCCTCCAGGTCCGCTCCCACCGCCTCCAGCCCCGCCACCTTCAAGACTGTTGCCCTCTTCGGCAAGAAGAAGGCTGCGGCTCCTAAAAAGGTTGCCGTCGCCTCCCCAGTGGACGATGAGCTCGCCAAGTGGTACGGTAAGTGAGTTGGTCAGTTTGATCCTTGAATTCTCTGGTTAGCACAGTTCACTTGTTACTGCCATTGCTAGATCTGGACAGGGTTTAATTGTTCATGCATATATATATATGTGTGTGTGTGTATAGACCATAGAGTATTGCTATTCAAGCAGAAAGGCTAAATTGATTAAATAACAACTTGAAAGAAAAATTGAGGGTTACAAGTAATATATAGTCTCGTCAATATCAATTGTTCACTTTCTTTTAAAAAAACACATTTCCCTTATCTGTATATATTTATTGTTCTTTTTATAAGTATAATAAATGGAGTTGAACTTGATGGTGTTTTGATTTCAGGTCCTGACAGAAGAATTTTCTTGCCGGAAGGACTCTTGGACAGATCGGAAATTCCTGAGTACTTGACTGGAGAAGTACCTGGAGAGTAAGTTTATAACTATATATATATATGTGTGTGCGCGCGCATATATATATGTATATTTACAGGCCTTGCATCATTTTAATTTGTTAGTCTGGTGTATTAATATCACTACCATAGTGCCTAACTTAGAAGTTGTAGAGTGGTGGTATGATCACCAAGTCTAATTAAGTTTAAATTATGATGAACTGATTTTCTTTGTTTGATCTGTATACGCAGTTATGGTTATGATCCCTTTGGGCTTAGCAAGAAACCAGAAAACTTCAGCAAGTAAATAAAGCTTCTCTCTCTATGTATATATATGTATATATGTTATGTTTGGACTTTGGGGTGGATGGGGTGAATTTAAGATGGGATATGTACTGTATCATCAAATTAGTTTGTAGGTGACACTGACAAAAGGAATCGGGGCTCTGTTTAATTGCAGATATCAAGCATATGAGCTGATCCACGCCCGCTGGGCCATGCTCGGAGCAGCCGGATTCATCATCCCAGAAGCCTTCAACAAATATGGGGCTAACTGTGGCCCTGAAGCTGTTTGGTTCAAGGTTTGCATCTCTATATATGCTTATATATATATATATATATATATATATATATATATATATATATGTGGATCATTTGATGTGCTCCTAAAGATAATTTGTTCATATAATTGTTGATATCTGCATATACATCAAGAGTCTTGTTTACTCTTGCATTGGATTTTTGGGATAATAATAGATATAGTCTCTTAGTCCAGAGGCTTTAGTACATGAGAACTTTAATTAACTATGGTTCTCGCTAGCTAATTGTTCAAGATTTGGATGTTTAGACTGACATTCCGCATCTTCATTAGGTTTACTTTCTCACCTTCTAAACTGAAAGCTCGAGGATTCAAGCTTCCATAGGAACATGTGGTTGCGTGTGTTATTTGTCACGATGAAAAAAGAAAAAACATAAAAGAGAAAAATTCACTATTTTTAGATTTTCCTGATTAGTGTGAACATGATAACAGTATTAAAAATTTTCCATTCTTGACAAGAAATGTTGAATATTTTCTACTTGATTTCCTTATATGCGCAAATGCATATGCAGACCGGAGCTCTACTCCTTGATGGGAATACATTGAACTACTTCGGGAAGAACATTCCCATTAATCTTCTTGTTGCTGTTGTTGCTGAGGTTATTCTTGTTGGCGGTGCAGAATATTACAGAATCATCAATGGTTTGGTATGTGAAAATCTCACTTACCGCTTGCTTCCTACCTTAATTTCACAAGTATCTTAATGTTTCCTTCCTAAGTACATACTTGTATTAATTCCTTGAAACTTTAAACTATGCTTCGTAAATAGAAAAACTGAAATCTAAAATCCATATATGGTACCTATGTTTTCGTTTACTCATTCAATTATGACAAACATCAATTGCAGCCTACGGTTGGTGCCCACAGAAAGAGCAATGTTCCATCTTTGAATCTAAATTGGTCCTCATTGTCAGTAAAACTAAAAACTAAGGATCCGCTTGGTTTGTTATTCAGAAAGCAATTTTCTTTGAAAACTCGGCTTGTTTTTAGAGAACTGTCTTTTATAATTATTTGAAAACACTTCTTGAGAACTATTATCTAAGTGACAAACCAAGCAAACCCCAGGTAACTTAAAAGTGAGGTGAGTGTGTACGTACCAATGGGCTTTATCTCTCTTCCTCAAAGAGGAAGTTAAATGTCCTAGCCCTGCTAGGGACAATATTGTGGATTTGTGTTTTTGTTTGAACTTTGGGGGAAAAAAAGATTTATTTATATATTTGATAAATTTTATAATTTGTTCCGGTGGAATGATGAGAGTGACATAGCTCTTTGCATTTCTTTAATTTTGTAGGATTTGGACGACCAGCTTCACCCAGGCGGTCCTTTTGATCCGCTGGGACTTGCAAAGGATCCAGACCAAGCTGCAATCCTAAAAGTGAAGGAGATCAAGAATGGCAGACTAGCAATGTTCGCCATGTTAGGTTTCTTCATCCAAGCCTACGTCACCGGAGAAGGTCCAGTTGAGAACCTTGCAGCCCATTTGAGCGACCCGTTCGGTAACAACATTCTCACTGTCATTGCTGGAACTGCTGAAAGAGCTCCTACTCTGTGATTGATTTTTCTTTGCTTGCATTCAAAATGCATTGTAAAACTCAATGGGAGTACTTAAGGCACTTAACCAATTCCTTGTAATAATTCAAACCCCCAACTTGTGTTTCACTTTATAGAGCTGTATCATTATTCAACTAGACTCTAGTATTCTGAAATACTTCTCTCCAAATCACTCGTGTGTTAATATTGAAGGGTACAATATTCATTTTGATTATCACAGATCCTTCATATTAGAAATTTTAGAAGTTTAACACTTTATAAGTATTTAAATCATCAGCTTTATTGTCATTAGAACTCTGAACATTTTGATAAGAATTTGATACGATTTTTATAAGGCTCCTCAGCCGAAAGAAATTCAATGGGATCACTTTGTTTCTCAGGAAATCCGAGCAGTGGAATTCACGAATTATGTGTCCAAAAAGTTCAAAATCTTGATAATTAGCTCTTGGCCTTGCGGTAAAAAAAAATATATATATATCAGGTGTGCAGGTGCACTATTCCATGGTGGGGATTGTTAACTTTCAATGAATTTCAAAGAAGTGACTAGTAAAAATAACCCTCGTTTTTTTATCCCTGGCAAGTGGTGCCTACTTAAAATGTTTGTGTGAATTAAATTGAAGAAGAACTAGACTGGAGAACAATAGCTAGAAAAAAAAAGTCAAAATTAGAAGCAAACAATTAATGCTTCTGGTTGCTTCGCACAGTAGCAAAAACACTGTTCACAAAAGAAACCCAAAAAAAAAAAAGAAAAAAAAAAAGACCTTTTTAACTTGCCATTTAATTTTTCAAACTTGCAAACCCTTTTTACTAAACACATTTCATGTTTTTGCTTCAAATAATCTTTCAGCAAATATTATACTTTAACCAAATAGGCTTCCAAATGGTATTGAATACACTTTAAATTAGAAACTTTTTTTTTTGCTCTGAGTTAAAGCAAAAGCACATAGCATAAGTGGTTGACAAATGGGCCCTTAAATTCCTGATTGTTGTAATAAATTTGTAACCAAACTAGTAGAAAATACTTGATGCTTTTTCAGTATCTCTAAATTGTTGAGAACTAAGGGCTCGGCTGGCTTTTGGTCTTGTTTTTACAAAAAAAAAAAAAAAAAAAAAAAAAAAAAAAAAAAAAAAAAAACCTTACACCATACAAATAAATCAACATTTCGGTTGGCTTTTGGTTTTGTTTTTACACACACAAAAAAAAAAAATCAGTAGTGTTTTGAAATTGTATCTTCGAAAAACTTTTAATGTTTTAGAAGAGCTTTTCTGTCTGTTTGACAGACCATACACCATACAAATAAATCAACATTTCATATTTTATATATATATATATATAATACATTCTGTTAAAAAAAAAAAAAAAAAAAACTAATTCCATCATTAATACAACAAAATAAAATGTTTATATAACTATCGCTCTGTAGCAATTCTACCTTGGATAACTATCAATGCTTGTGATTTGAAAAAAATTTGATGCATGAAATTATAAATCAGCAATAGTCTCACTCCTAATAAAATTATAGAGAACCATCAAAGCATTAACAATGACTACTTGCTTATTAAACTTAAAATTATGCATGTTTTGTAAGATATACAGTAAAAAACAACTTCTAAATTATTAGTGAGAAGGTTTAATCAAAATCCATAACTCATGATCATGATATGCCACCATCATTCGGTTTTGATGGTAAACAATTGTCTATTCATTACATTTTTATTTTAAACGCAATATTCATGCTTCCCATACATGCTTCAAGAATGTTAATAGCTTTGTTTATTCATTTGTTTGTGCTTTTCTTCACTTATAAGATGTGTTCTCTAGTTTAACAGGATAATTATTTTAACTTTCTTTTTTATTATTTTCTTCCTTTAGTTTTAACGTTTGAATAGTTGATAGAATTTTTTTTTCCCTCAAAATTCATTCTCAATATTAAAATGATATATGGGAGGAAATTAATAATATTAATGGAACTATTTGACATTCGTATCTTTCACAAGTAGTTCAAATGAAAAAAATTCCCATGATAGGAGTTTTTCAGATTTCTATCATACTCGAATGTCTTTCACAAGTAGTTCAAATGAAAAAAATTCCCATGATAGGAGCTTTTCAGATTTCTGTCATACTCTTTAGAAATAATTCAATATGGTTTGTATTTTTGTAGAATCTAATCAATAGTGGGACAAATTTAAAATTATTTTTTATTACTCTCAAATATCAACAACATATATTTTTTTTATACAATTTTGTATAATTGAAAAAAGCAAAAACGCTCCGTTCTAAATTATACAAAATAATTATGATTTAAAATTTGTTATCTTAAAATATATATATATATATATATATATGCATATTTTATATATATATATATATATATATATATATATATAATACATTCTGTTAAAAAAAAAAAAAAAACTAATTCCATCATTAATACAACAAAATAAAATGTTTATATAACTATCGCTCTGTAGCAATTCTACCTTGGATAACTATCAATGCTTGTGATTTGAAAAAAATTTGATGCATGAAATTATAAATCAGCAATAGTCTCACTCCTAATAAAATTATAGAGAACCATCAAAGCATTAACAATGACTACTTGCTTATTAAACTTAAAATTATGCATGTTTTGTAAGATATACAGTAAAAAACAACTTCTAAATTATTAGTGAGGAGGTTTAATCAAAATCCATAACTCATGATCATGATATGCCACCATCATTCGGTTTTGATGGTAAACAATTGTCTATTCATTACATTTTTATTTTAAAAGCAATATTCATGCTTCCCATACATGCTTCAAGAATGTTAATAGCTTTGTTTATTCATTTGTTTGTGCTTTTCTTCACTTATAAAATGTGTTCTCTAGTTTAACAGGATAATTATTTTAACTTTCTTTTTTATTATTTTTTTCCTTTAGTTTTAACGTTTGAATAGTTGATAGAATTTTTTTTTCCCTCAAAATTCATTCTCAATATTAAAATGATATATGGGAGGAAATTAATAATATTAATGGAACTATTTGACATTCGTATCTTTCACAAGTAGTTCAAATGAAAAAAATTCCCATGATAGGAGTTTTTCAGATTTCTATCATACTCGAATGTCTTTCACAAGTAGTTCAAATGAAAAAAATTCCCATGATAGGAGCTTTTCAGATTTCTATCATACTCTTTAGAAATAATTCAATATGGTTTGTATTTTTGTAGAATCTAATCAATAGTGGGACAAATTTAAAATTATTTTTTATTACTCTCAAATATCAACAACATATATTTTTTTTATACAATTTTGTATAATTGAAAAAAGCAAAAACGCCTCCGTTCTAAATTATACAAAATAATTATGATTTAAAATTTGTTATCTTCAAAATTGAACCCAAATCCTTATGTTTAATAATTTTAACTTTTTTGTGAATATATGATGAACTCTTTTCATAATTGTCTTCTTTAAGATTGAACCAAAAAAAAATAAATAAATAAAATTTCTGTAAAATAAAAACAAAAACTAATTCGTTATAAATTTTATTATTATGTTTTTTTTGTAAGACACCCTGAAAATGTAAAATAAAAACAAAAAATAATTCTTTATAAATTTTATTATTATGTTTTTTTTGTAAGGAAGAATCAATCCACCGGACACCCCTAATCATTTTGGATTATGAGATAGTATACAAAATTTGGATAGCTATAATGGCAAATCGCACATCTCATTTAAATTATTTTGTTTTTACAGTTTGTGTGAGTTAAATCCAAAGGTGTCCAGGTTTACGATTTGCCCAAGAGATCTGACTTACAAACTTACAACTTAGTTTTAATTGATTGAGATGTAATCAAAACAAAATTATAGTAATAATCCATTGGAAAATATAGAAATTATATTTTCTGTTAGATAAGGAATAATTACAGAGGATATTAATTGGATTTTTTTTTTTTTTTTTTCAAAAAAATTAATTAATTGGCAGAATTATGTAGCTATGTTGGGAACATAATTGGTGTTGCCTTAAGGAAGTTACGTGGGCTTACGTGTGGTTCGGACATACTAGTGATTAAACAGATTGAGCTTTATAGGAGTTACCCTAATCGTGTTGTTTTGACGACTCCAACATGTATCTTCAAATATTTTTTCTTCCATAAAAGTTCACTAGTTTTAGATTTTCCTGCTGAACATGATAACAACATTAGAATATTCCATTCTCGACAAGAAATGTTGAATACTTTCCACTTACTATTTCATTGTACGTACGCGCAAATGTAAATGCAGACCGGAGCTCTACTCCTTGACGGGAATACATCGTGTAAACTTAATTAAAAATTTCATACACATGCATACTACACATCAATAATAATTATTTAATTAAACATACCTGTGAAAATCATTAATAGACTCAGAAAATAGTTAGACCTGAATAAATTCAATACTGGTTTTGCTTTTCATCTCAAGTTTGCTTTGATCTGCAAGAAAAAAATGTTTTGATCTTTTACCCTCTCCATTTTTGCTCAAAACTATGCTCAATGGGACTAGACTAATCGTATTGAGAGTGTGTGAAAGTGGGGACCAAAGTTGTATATAGATATTATCTGATAAGTTCAGAGTCGGCTCTTGGGTAGTGCCACCGCACACAGCCCCCAAAATTTGTTGTGAGCCCATATATGTAATATATATACTGTAAAAAATATATATATATTTTTTTATAAAATGAATTGCAGCTCATTTGGTGAAGGGCCCATGTAAATACAACTTTTTTTTAATACCTACAACCTACTTGTGACTTAAATTTTTTTTTTTTTTTATAAACTTAAGCCCAATTTGAGTGGTGGAGAATACAACCTAATCTAGCTTCTCTCTAATGCATCCCATACAACCGGTGAAGAATGAGCCAATAATGAATGGGATTTTTCGATTTTTAGAAGACTCCCCCTATCAATATGCATCTATCAAGATATTTAACAAACAATAGAATAGCACATCATAACACATCTTTCTCCCCTTTTGTCATCTCAAAAAAAAAAAAAATGGGAGACAAAATAAATAAAGAAAAATAACTTGGCATTTCAGGAAATATCAGAGAAGAGTGAATTAAAGGGCAAGAGCTGAGTAAATATGGCATTTTATAGATAACAGAAAGAGACTGTGAACACGAGTACCATATGACAGATAAAGGCATAGTTTATAAAACACAGAAAAAGGCTTCTTTAAAGCAAATAAAGCTA